CATCCAACAGCTGGCCCAGTGAAGGGTGGCCCTCGCGATTTTGTTCAACCAACCAACGCTGGACAACAACCAACAGTTGTGCCAGTGAAAGGTGGTCCTCGCGATTCCGGCGAACGAACGAAAGCTGGTCGACATCCAACAGCTGGCCCAGTCAAGGGTGGCCCTCGGGATTCTGTTCAACCCACCAAAGCTGGACAACTACCAACAGTTGTGCCAGTGAAAGGTGGTCCTCGCGATTCCCTACAACCAACGAAAGCTGGACAACAACCAACAGCTGGCCCAGTGAAGGGTGGCCCTCGCNACCCACCAAAGCTGGACAACTACCAACAGTTGTGCCAGTGAAAGGTGGTCCTCGCGATTCTGTTCAACCCACCAAAGCTGGACAACTACCAACAGTTGTGCCAGTGAGAGGTGGTCCTCGCGATTCTGTTCAACCAACGAAAGCTGGACAACTACCAACAGTTGTGCCAGTGAAAGGAGGTCCTCGCGATTCTGTTCAACCAACCAAAGTCGGACAACACCCAACAGCTGGCCCAGGCAAGGTTGGTCCTCGCGATTCCCTGCAGCCGAGGAAACCTTGTCAACGCCGAAGGGGGTGCCCAGTGAAGGGTGGCCGTCGCGTTTCTGTGGAATCAACGGAATCTGGTTCGGATGAATCCGGCGTAGTGCCGAAGTTTGCAACTGAGAAAAGAAGGGAACTGATGGCAAGGGAAAGATCATCAATTTCGCGAAAGAAGGGAGGAGCTGCGCGTAAAGCTCTGGGTGGCTGGGTGTCCGGAATTGGCATACGTGGTGAGTTTCTTAGTTGGAGAATGGTGAATGATCGGGATGTTTACGTGTGGTAGTAGTTTAGCTGATCTGGCTCGTGATAAAGTAGTGACTGTGATTGGTTGCTGCGCTTACTTTAAGGGAGAACGACAATAGGTTTGCTCAAGTTTCGCATATTGATTTTTTTCCAGTTTGTCGGTGTGTAGCTGATATTGTTATGAGTTTGGTGGGGTTTCGTTGACCCGCTGTAAGGCATTGCATTGGATCTGCGTTCCACCTTGCAGAGATTGATTAGATAGAATATTGCTTGTAACGCAAGTTTGAACGTTCGTGTGGCGGTTACTTGTTACCTTCGGTTTCAACGTCTTATGCGTCACTTACAGGAGTCGGTTTTGTGTTGTCGCCTGGATTTGTTTCGGCGCCTTTCGATAGGAATGTCCTGCAGGTGTTCGAGCTTAGGCAGATTTTTGATAAGGTGTTTTTTGTGTGGTGCTCTCATTCTTAATCGGATTGTGATTGGCATGATGTTAGCGATTTCTGATTGGCTTTTCTCAAATTTCCTCTATTTTGTATGTTAGCTTTGATACTGAACCTGATGTGTGTTGTCATGGTTCTCTGTTGCTAGGTAGATGTGGCTTGATGCCTTTGCTTCCCTGCCTACTACGAGTAGTAAGGGTCGACTGAGGCTTCCTGGTCGCTCTTAGAATCTATTGGATTTTGGATGCTGATAATAAGTCACATGTGATCGTATACTTACGAAATGATGAATTTGTATGATGTGGGTAGCGTGTGTTTATTGTGTTTGAGTATCTGATCTTTGTAGAGTTTCTCGCTTTTTTTAGGTAGCAAATGTGTTGTCCTTCGACTAGTGAACATCTGAAGAAAGTCTCTAGTGCTCTCATATCCTTCCTTTGCTAGTATTTCTTATGTGTGATGCACGGAGCGACTAACGTATATCTGTTTCAAAGGAGTTCATATTGTCTTGATGTGGTCGCCTAATTTTGTTTGAGTGTTTTTAGTAGTTACATGTTTTTGATTTGATTATCAGGTTGCTGGTTCTTGGCATATTTCATTCGTTTGCATGGAGACATCCTCGTTTGGATTTTGTCGTATTGACTAGAGTTTCCGCAGTTTTATGAAACACGATCTGATAGGAGTGTTGAAGTATATAGAGTAGAATTTTGAACCCATATCCCCACAGACGGGTGGAGATAAATTAATTAACCAGGTAATTAATTGGTTAGTTAGATCATTAGTTAGTTAGTGAATTAATTATTTTCTCTGTAACTGTCTGTGATGGTTTCCAGAGACTGCATACATCATAATACAAACTCTAACAGAGAAGCTTCACAGACTACCACTGACCGTGACCAGTGTTTCCAATGGAAATCTAACACAAAATGTACACTACACTATATTTTGTGAGCAAAGTCTATACTTCATCTTGTTTTTTCGGCATAGTGCACGAAGTGTACTAAAATCAGATTTTTACAATCTAAAAGACAAAATATAATTTATTTAATACTATATGCAGCTTTTAAGGTTCAGAGATTAAAGAAATCAAAGTGTAAACTGTTTTGATAAAGTGTACAACGTAGTGTAGACCAAAAGTAGCATATGCTCTGTGCATTTTGCTTCTGCTTGATACACTTGCCGTTGGAAACACGGTCGGTGATAGACGGATTCCAAAAACTGAGTTTCATCGTGTTTCACATTTTTAGTTAGTTAGTTAGTTAGTTAGACCCGCTACCGTTTCCGGTGTAGGATGAGAAGAAGAAAAAGACACAAAATACACAAAAAATAGCTATTAGCAAAGTTAGAGTTTTTGTCTTCGTTGACGACCGTATTGTTAGAACTCGACTGACGATGAAAACCTGGAGATCACGAGACCATCCTCTGGTAAACCAGCTTTAAATAGACTCCGTCATGGACCATACTCACAATGTGCAGAAGGTATCTTACAATCATTTGAAGATCCTTTCCAAATCCTTGCATTTCGTTCAACTTAAAATTTAAGTTTATTGTTCTTGCACGAAACTTAAGCATTAACACACGAGTTTACATGATTCGTAACTCTTTGAGGCTTAAATTGAATTCCACAACCAAAGCTAACATAATGATTATTTGTATTTTTAACTAGAGTTTCTGTTAATTTTCTTTTGATCACCCTGTGAGATGCAGCCAAGTCATCATTTCTTTGATTTACAGCTCTTTGTTTATGTTCGTAGATGATTTCTTTAATATTTTGATGTACTGGCCTGCTCTGTATATTTTTGTTAATTAATTCTCTCCAGTGATCTCTTTTTTGAAGAATCTTTTCTCCAATTTTTAATCCGACAGTATTCAATATCCTCTTTCATTTTATCCTCCCACCATTTCCTAATACCGATGTTATCAGGACGTTTCTCTTCTGGATGGTAAGAGAACATGATCTTTTTCACTACAGATGGTTCATTATCACTGTTCATGACTCTGTTGGCATGACAAAACCACCTTAATCTGTTTCGACGTAGAATTCTTTCAATTTATGGCCGTCCAGTGATTTCTAAAATTTTATCATTTGACATGCGGTCACCTAAATTGACACCAATGATTATTCTATGACACTTCATATAAAACGGTTTCACATTTTTATCCCACAGGGATTGCGCTAACAGCGGCTTTTTTTATATATTTTCATGGTTTTGTTATCCATTCATGTGTTGTTTAAATACAACAGGAAGCAATACAACAATAAATATGTTCATTATAAGATATCAGGCGTACGGTAGAATTTACCCTCAGCTCATTGTTTTCGCCTCATAATCGCCAAAACATGGTATCACAGTTTAACTGGTTGTGACTATCGATACGTTTTAATGTTCCAACACTGACTGAGATGACGTCTCTGGCAGGTGTTTACGTTTTTCCCGAGTTTTATTAGACAGGTTTCTAGTGTTGGTTATGAAGCGCAGTTTACTAGAAAATGTTGGGTTTTCCCGCCGGGATTAGATATGTCATTGCGGAATTACTTTATAGCATCTGAGCGTTGTGTCGGTATGTATCTCATGTTCTTGTTTGGGTTCCTGTCAAAACTTACGAGTTTATAATTTTTAACTGAGAGAAATTCTCTTTGATGTCAAGATTCCATTTTTTATTATTCTTTTATCAGGTATTGTCTCCACGGTATCAACGAAGCGTCACAGAAATTGTGATACTATTCTATCCGCAGAGATTGATTGCGAAAATGGCCATAAGATTTCTACGGATATGGACAAAATACTTGGTTCTTTTCTTGTAAATAATTGTTCAAGTAGAATATTTTCTGCCGACATCAGTCTTTCTGAAGGGGTTATTGCGAAGCTGTCATCATTATTGAACGAACAACTTTTGCATAATGGATCGAAAGATGAGCCGAATATATCATTCATGAAGGCAATTGGTAACGAAACACATACTCGATTTTATTATTCATGTATCGCGGATAAAGAGTATCATACAGAGATTGAAGCTGCGTTACGTACTATATGCAAAGACAAAGGAGTAAGTTTTTATCATTTTGAAAAATTTTAAAGACTAATGTTCATGCTTCAAAGTTGCACGATACTATTGATGAATATCAACGTAGTTCATGTAATGAAGATTCAAGTATATTGGATAGTTCTAGCGATGATTATAGCCATAGCTCTTTTGAAAATACCGAACAACCAGATGAAAAGTTCCAGTCAGACTCTTGTAAGTACCTTATCTTTAGTTTCAAGAAAATTGTAGGCGTTTTTTAAAATTTCTTCTACTATCTTATTGATATTCTCTAAAGTAAAGAGTATAACAGGATAAAACTTCCTCTAATTATCTTCTCAAGATCGTGACTGAAGTTTATCCTTGAGTCTTAATCTTATTTTCGTAGAGGCACGTCATTCAATTTTCTACGATAATATATCAAGAGATTTGACGAAAAAAATATCAATGTGGAGAACCAGATAAACAATTGAGGGGAAACAGCGGATTTTTAAACTTTTGAACTTGAAGTTACTTCCAGCTATTTGAAGTAGCTTACTTTGAAGTAATTTTCAACTTCAAATTTACCTGAAGTTACTTGAGGTTACTTTAAGCTACTTACTCCCAGTTTGAGCTACTTGAGTGGCACTTTGAGCTACTTATAGCTACATTGAACTACTCTTGATGACACACTACAAAGAATTTTTCTATTTAACCCTCTCAGCTGGCTCCCAGAAGCGACATAGTTAAAACTCTTCTTTTGCATATATTTTCTTATCCTGCCATAGAGATAGCAAAAAAATATTTCTTATAATTGAACGGTGCTTCTATGTTGAATAGCTGTATGTTACCATTTGGCAACAGTCGGCCGTAAAAGGTCAAAACTTTGAGAAATTCATTTGCCGTTTTCAATCATTGAAATTCACTATTTTGCGTTCCTTTCATTTAATTATTCAAGAAAAAAGTGTAATATATATATATGATACACCTGCACACTTTCTCCGCGATTCAAATCAACTTTTGTACGAAAAAATTGACATACGTTGAACTTAAGGAGAGAGAGAGTAGATGTATGGTTTTTTGTGTTAGTTGGCAGCAGGATAGGCATTCTTGTAGATCTTTCATTTCTCTACATCCATGCCGATACACAAATCAAATATCCATCTCCATACCAGTTATGAAGAGTTACAATACTATCATGCTGGCTTTTTTTCATAGAAAAATCCATTTAAACTTAGGAAAAGCTATGTAAATGCACCAGATATGTTTTGTATGCTTTGTTCTTGCATGAATAAATGAAAAAACACAGTATAGCGAATAACGATAATTGAAAACGAAAAATGATTTTTCAACAATGTTGACCCCTTACGGTTGGCTGTTTCCATTTAGCAACATCCATACCTCTTATTGTCAGTACTCATTGAATCATCTCTCTGAGTGATACAATATACAATAGATCAAGGAGGGGAAATTTGTCAAAAGTGGCCTGTGGGATTGAATGATTGAGGATGCCATAAGAACGTCTATTATGATTCATTTGTTGTTTAGGAGTGTTCCGGAGAGCTCCGGTAATTTTTTCAGCAGAACGTTTTTGTTTTGTTTCATGGGCTATGAGTGTGTTCCAAAATGTCTTGTAGTAACTATTGAACTATTGATTCCATATCTATTTACAGCAGAGCTGAGCACAGGACAAATTTTTCTGCCCTGCCCTGCCCTGTCCTGATATCCTGACCCGTCCTGGTGGGCGACAGGACAGGACAAAAACTCTAAATTCGTCCTGCCATCCTGGTCTATCCTGGCGGGCTGTAGGACAGAACAAAGCTCTATTGTTGTCCTGCAGGACAGGGCGGAGCACCAGGACGCCAGGACAACAGGGCAGTCCTGTCCTGTGCTCAATTTTAACTCACAGTATAGCTAGACCTTTCTTAAAACATTGCACAATGTTGCCAAATGGCAGCATCCGGCCGTAAAGGGTGAAACGCTTCTTAAAGTTGTTTAAAAGTTACTCCAGTGACTTGTTATTATTATTGATTACTTGAGGGGTACTTTGGCATATGTTGACGTACCTTTCGACTGCAAGTCCACCGGTTCTTCCTTGCTATGAATGATGGCGTGCAAGTTCAAGTACGACATCTTGTGGATATGTGTCGACCATTTTAATCATCTAGTGGTCGAGACCTAGCTATATTCATATTTCGTTTTAGCTGACTCAACATTTTTGAATGCCTCGAAGGAATGCAAGTCTAAACGAACAAGTAACAAATGTACTAAACGTCGAACTGGTCACATCACTCGTGTATGTAGTAAGACTTTAGAATAATTTTCAATTCTCATATTTTCCTTTAGATTCTATCAACTACATATGACCTTGGATTCAAACAAAGAGGTGGTTATAATTCGGCATGTGCTCGATGTGCCTTACGTAAAATCAGTTCAACACTGCTGTTAGAAGGCATAACGTTGGAACAAATATCCAGTCGGCTTTGTGGGCGATTTCCACAAAACTTCAAATATATTTTAGCTGCTGAAGTTCGCAAATATCAACGGGTTGGTCTCAAATCGATCGAAATCACAAGTATTTCAGTTGATCAAAAGCAAAATTTGATCGTCGATTTTGACATTATCGTTGATCCACAATACAACGCACTGGTACGCAGTGCATTACGACGTGCTGTAATCACGCTTGATGTATGTATTTCGTTAGCATGACGGTTTTTTAATAATTATTTTGTTGTCTTCATAGCTCAAACGCGTCTTCAAATATCAACAGCGTTATTAAATTCCAACATGAACTTAATTTATCTCTAACTATTAATTATTCATTATATTCTTTTAGTTCATGAATTATGGGGGGAGGGGGGAGAGAAACAGAATAAAATTTATCATTTAAAATTCTCTTTTTTTGTGCTGCCGAAACTTCAGTACTAATCATATTATATGGTAAAGAGTAAGCCAAACCTCATTCCATTCATGCGTGCTTTTGCAATCATTTATATCATGTTGAAAATTATCCCAGTTTTATGAGTGAATAATATCCCAAAAATCGAAACGGGATTCCATTTACCGTAGACATGCTTCAGCGCATACAAAACCACGTCGAGCATTTCGTTGACAAGAAACAATCGTACACGATTAAAAATGTTTATGCAAACTGCTGTTACATACAGTTTACGACCAGATATAGCTGTATTTTGTAGTATCATAAACGGCTAATTACGACCCTGCTGTTTTTACTGGGGAAGTTAAGCAGAAATATTTTATAAGCGAAAACAAAACAGCCCAGGACGATGTTTCCGGCCTCCGGAAATGAGCGGATTTAATTGGAACCGGCCAGGAACATGCAGGAAATGCACTGGAACGTGCAGAAAAACGCCGGATATCACCGGACCCTGGAAGCAGTATTCCGGAACAGATTTCTTCGGATTTTCCCGGTGATTTCCGATGATTTCCGACGGGAACCAATAGGAACTTGGCGGAACTTACAGGAAAAATCCGGAGATTTCCCGGTTCGGAATACTGCTTCCGGGAAATCGCGGGAATGCGCGGGAACCGGCCGTTTTCCGGGCCGGTTCCTTGGACCTGGGAGCAGATTCAAATTTTTAATTAGAATTCAATAAAAGATTTCTACGATTAACCGGTTGAATATATATCATACACAGAAAATCAATAAGATATCCAAAAGAACCATTGCTCGCCAGTGTGCTGTGATGTTCTAGTAGAAATGATATTTATTATTGGGTGAATTTTACTTGAAAGACTGTAACATTTTAAACGAAAGACAAAATGTGAGACTGTGATTTAAAATCGAAATGTAATAATTAAATGCTTACTAACATCTAGATAATTATTTTACACGATTATTCTAACGTTATATTTGAAAAACATATTTTTGAGCTTACGGACTTAGTTTTAGGCTAGAAATCATTATTAACACTAGAATACTTATTTTCTTGAGTAACTTAACTCTCGAGAAAAAATAAAATATTAGATAGCAAGATCAAAAATGAATTTTGAACTAAATTATTTTAAATCTTAGTGATATTTGGCTAGAGTATGCTAATTTTAAACACGAAAAACATAGTTGTTGAAGTCAACTCTAATTTTTATGAGAAATGTATTTGAAATGATATTGAAATTATTTTCTTCTATGATATTTTAACGTAGGAGAATGAAAATAATTTATAAATCTGAAAAAATCTATGTTAAGCAATCATGTGTTGAAACAGAAAATAATCGCATATACACATATATGTTCTGGGCAATTGATATTCAGAGCATAACAAAAGAAAATTGAAACAAAATAGATTTACAAACACTGCATTTTTTTCGCAAATTGAACTAAGATTGGCGTAAAATCTGCTTAATATCAAGAAGACATTAATTGTATCACTTTTTATATCCATCTTTCCTTGTTAAAACACTTTCCGTATGCAACAATGACATTTAGTCAAGGGGGAAACAGCTGATTCCGTGATTCCGTGATTCCGTTGATTCCATGTGATTCTATTGATTCCACATGATTCTACTGATTCTGTGTGATTCCACTGATTCTACTGATTCTGTGCGATTCCACTGATTCCGCGTGATTCCACTGACTCCATGTGATTCTGTGTGATTCCATTGATTCTTTAAAAGAAAATATTTTCAATAGTTCAATCTTTATACTTGGCAAAATATTCTTCTTCTTTCATATACTAAAGATTAAAGAGAATATTAAATATTTTCCTGAACTCATAAAACCTAACGTAAGTTCAAAAGTTGTTTTATTAATAAAAATATACTTTCTGTTTTTCGAATGTCATAAGCAGACAAATATTGTTGCCAACACTGCTAGATATTTGAAAGTATTTAATGAAATAAAGAAATTTTCGAACCAATAGGAAATCAAATGCTATTCGTGACGATTATTGACTGATTAGATAATTAGAACCAGCAATATAGAGAATGTTTTCCAAGTTTTTTATTAAAAGAACAACAAGTGTACTAGTTTTCCATGACACGCTTTAAACGATCTGACGACAATTTTTGTTTTTCATCTGTCATATACCAAATAGCAGTATTTTTGTGGAGGTATTTTCTCTTTCCATCGATGTTTACCAAAAAGTACGAATCTTTCAATTCAGGATTGATAGTGTCTCGAACACTTTTCATTGATTGTAAACTGGTGTTGGTTGTTTGTGGTAACAAATTAATACCATTGTTATCTTCTATATCATTCTCCATACTGTCATAATCATTCCATGAATAGAATCCATTTGATTGATTTTCATCGTAATCTTGTGAAGTACTTTCTTCCGAATCTGAATCAGATTCATTAGTGCATTCATCAATTGTTATTGGTATAAAAAAGTTTGCCTTTTTTGTTGATTTATATAAATCATTACGTATATGTTGACTAACTTGATTCATAGTAACAATATGTGCTTCTTTCAACACGTCTTCGATACCCAAAGGAAGTAAAAGAGTTACAGCATCTTTGAATGCACGGTCAACTTGTTCTTGTACTTGCTGTTTAGTAATTTTTTCCCGTTGGATGGTTGAATATTTGTGATTTTGTTGTGTTTTATGATGATTGGGAAATACAAATTTTGAAGATGAATATGATGAATTCGATTGAGTTTTAATAGAATTTAGAAATGAAATCTTCTCTTGACGATTCAAAAATTGTTGAACAGAAAAATTTACTGATGTAGAAAATGTTCCAGACATTGACCGTGATAAACGAAAAAAATTCTCACATGTCTGAGAATTGAATATTGATACTTTCAATGTTTCAAGTGGTAGTTGATCCTCAGCAACTAGTAATGTAAGATATGTAAGATTATGTGCATTTAGTTCAATGCATAAAAATGCTGTTGATGTAATGAAAAAGCATTTTTTAGTAGTTTTTTGTTTGAATTTGTCTTTGGCAATATCAGAATGATTAGCCATTTGTGATATACGATCATTGAAATCTTGTTTTGGTACTAAATTAAGCCATGTTCGCCATAAACGACATACGAAGACTGCTAACCAAGCATAATAAATTCGAGTAGCTGTTGGTGTGGATGGATCAATGAACGCTATGATAATGCAACGAATAATGCTAAGATATACGACTGTTGCATGTGAATCATTGATTTCTTGTAAACATTCTATTGCGACTTCATGACAGAAATGAATTACAAAATAATTCAAAATTTACACATACAACTAATACATGTATCAGCTATTACTAGAAGGTACTACCAGGTACTAGAAGGTTGGTAGCAGCCGAATTCGACTTTGAACATGAATGGACAATCATAAAAAATAAGTCTATGTTATCAAAATTAGAATAAAAGAACTCATATATTTTTACTTTGTATGTTTACATAAGGCTATTATATAAATTTTGCAATAGATCTAGATTTAATTTTAACTCTAGCATCATAAGAAATGCCCGGTTTTTCAGACCAATGAAAGGATAAAGTTCACGCAAATTTTGCATTTATTTATATATTTTTTTTGAACGGGTGAAGACCTACACAAACAGAAAAGATCACCTGCCATGGTGTTGTTAAGATTTAATGTTCGTATGAACTATGAAGGAACTCAAAAAAGCAGCACTGTGAGTGATTGATGATGTCATATCATCACTATTAACTGCCAAAGAATTACCATCGTTTGTCAGGGAGATAACTGTGAGTAGATGTTTCTCTTTTGGTAAGTGTACGGTGTCTGACCTATCTGCCGGTGTTCACCATATATTTGCTGAATAATTTCAGACTTGTGAACGAAATCTGTTCTTAATTCACAAATTTAACTGATCAGTTACCTGCATTCGTTTCTGAAGAGCATTTATCTACGTTTAGGAGAGAATTCAGTCAACCGTTCAACACAGACAACATTAGTTCCGTGAATATTTCAATTCGGCAGCTTCATTGATCCACATCTGGTACTACTTATTAGGAAGAAAATGGGAACTGAGAGTTGTAACGATTTTAGATAAAAGAGATGCCCGTGCTGATGGTATTACACTTTATTTTACTCTTCAAATCATAAATCGCGCCGATTACATATAAAGCACACATTTAAATACTCAACCATTTGAGAGAACGAAGGAGAATGAGAGATAAAGAGAAATATCAAGGACAGAAAGATAAAGATAATAGGTAGTATGAGAACAAATGGCACCATACGAACAAATATCATGTATAGATTACACTCAAACGGGATCGTTACACCGCCGCATGAAACTTGGACACTCTCCGCATATATCGTTACAAGAGTAACAATCTCAACGGTTACAAATATTGAGATCTAGTAATCTACTGCAGATATGTGAAAGATGATAAATTTCTCTCGAAGGTATATAGGTCAGTAAATTTGAAAGTATATGTCAGATAAAGCACAAAATCATAATTACGATTTTATTCATGGTATTTCATTTTGCCTAGATTGCAGAAACGTTACAGGTAAAAATAATCAATGTGGCATATTGCATAACTTCATTTTTTTGCAAACTGGTTTGAAAATTCGCTATTGAGTTTTTTGATCAAAATGAAAAATATAAAAGGGTGCGGCATTGTATGCATAATATTTAATTGAAATTACGAACGCATGTATACCATGACAGATAAACTATATCAAACTTAGCTACATTTCAAGATATTTTGAAACGCAAGCAAATTGGAAAAGATATTTTTATGTGTTTGAAACAATTTTTCATGATATTTGAAAACTAATTAATATAATATATTATAACAGGTCACTATAACATGCATTGGAACAAGAATTTAGTTTTTCTGAAGAACAGTATAATTTTTAACAGTAGTTGTGAATTCACAAATTTACCATGCTTCATAAATGTAGAGCTGTGCCATCTACAGTATTTTTTTCAGGTTTTTTAACGAGATGTGCTGATTTGTGGATGATGATCAACAATATTTATGAGGCAGAAATTTAAATTTCACAGCACAATTTGTTCATTATTTTTGTACGGTTTATAGAACATCCTATAATTATATTTTGAAATATTTGAGCTATTATTTTCTTCGTATATGATTATATCTTTCATTAGATTAATATTTAGAAAATGACACCAAAAAAGCCAAATCGAAAACTTCTCAAGTCAAATACAGGTATTATTGATTGCAGTATAAAATTATAATCAACGGATTATCCATTTTTGGCTATGGAAACACTTGACGTATATGGTGAGAATATTTATGATAAGATCAATCGAGTATTCGAAGTGACAAGTTTATCATCATAAAATGCATCAATAACATCTGCTTCGATCTTGTCATTAGCAAGTATACCAAAAATAATAAATATTGTAAATAATCGGTCATCCTTTTTTAGGTAACTTCTCAACTAATCAATTACTAATTCTATCGACAACAACATATACTTTAGAATCAACTTGTACAATATAGTTTTAATAAAACTGAAATGATCTTTATGTCGTCTTTAACATTGCCATAATTTTTTCATGTCAAGTTTTTGTCTGATTTGAGAAAATCAAAAGCTTTTTATAAATAAGGACTAAAATATGAAAAATGATATGATTAATGCATACAACAACTTTTAAAAACTCTGTTTGCGAATAACGAAAGTTTGTGTTGATAAAATACAAAATAAACATCGGACCAAATATATGCAAAGACTGTATCGATTATCCTTGTATGTCATGAAATAGTTCGCACTGATGACAAAATAAATTTATCAAGTATCAGTTTCTTTCTTAAAAAACATTCAAAATAATTTTTTTCTAATTCAATGTATAGAACTTGATGATTCTCACAATTCATTATCTACCTGCAAAAAAAAAAGAAAATGTGCAACGGAATATTATTAAAGAAATTTAAAAAGCTGAAATGAAAGAATCTTGAACTAAAAAGAAGAATTGAGTTTTATAAAAAGGAATGCATGCCAAAGTATTGCATTTCTATCAATAGAAATGTTTTTTTTCTCTTTAACTAGACCAACAGGTGCGGCAGCATACTATTTCATACATATACAAAAGAATATCTAAATGATCATATGAAGAAAAAGAAGCTGATAAGAGGGAGAAAAGTAATGGACAAAAAATAGCAGTTTGAGACTAACATGTGAGATATTTGGTGCAAATAAAAAAAATTTGAATCGATGCAAATGTGAAACAATAACTAAAACACACAGAGAAGTTACTAAGTGTCTTTATTGTGATACAAGTAAACGAGCAAAATGCTTATCTCATTAATACTGAGAGAAAAGCTTTTTGTCATTCACGGTAAATCTCTTAAGTATTATTTATAAATAACTATTTTTCATTTTCAGAATATGTGAAATCATCATATCCTGATCAATGCGAAACGCCAAACTTGATCTTAAGCATTGTTATAGGAAATGATTTTTTCAGTACAAAAAGAAAGGAAACAAAAAAAGAAAAAGAAAAAAAGACTGAATTGAATGAAAAATTAATTAATAAATCATAAAAACATTAAAAATTGTTCTCAAAAACATCCTATTGAATCGATCTTCTTGATTTTGTTATATTATAATTATAGGACATTTACTTTAGAGCATATTTATGTTGCAGCAATTCATTATTGCTGTTGACGTGCACATGGATTTTAATATTTTGTACAATTCTACTATTATAATTGAACTAAAAGATAGAAAGTAAATAATATGTGCCTGTTTTAAATTTTCAAACAGCATTTTTCTATTGCTAATGATCAATATTGCAAGAAGAACAGACCAATGACATTTTCAGCATGCTATAACAAAGCGGCTTGATATTGTATGTTGAATATTCTGCTTTTAGTTTTATTATAAAATTTTCAATAATATCATTTTATATAAAAGCTACTGATAGATTGATTTATATTTGGTAGTCTATTGCTTGTATTAATGAGACTCAAACTATTGAACTCGATTTTAATATTCATTCAAATACTAATGGTAGTAAGTATATATATATAATTTGTCTAGATATAGATAAACAGAAATAGTGTGTGTGTAAAATGGTTAAAAAAAATAAAAGCTATACGAAGATCGATCGTTGAATGTTTTTAACTAGAATTAAGCAATTGAAATAATACAATCAACATATAAATTAATTTCGGATTCAAATGCCTACGAAATACACTTCATAGAAAATCAATTCTGATGAATACGATTAAATCCAAGATAATTCATCAAGTTAGATGTTATGGTCTGAAATGAGATACTTCGCATACATCCGCGATCTACCCTTTTTTGCATTGTACACTGCATGACCCAGTCACAATATTGTATGTATACTTTCTGATGAACACACAATCATACATTTGATTCTATGCAAACCTACAAAGTGTCTATACTGTGAAAATTTCTCATTCAAAACTTTGACACGCATGAACTATTATTGCAGTAATTCTTATTTCTTATTATCATGCATCTGCATCTGCAATTAACATATCTACAGAAGTTCTATACAACTCGAAGTTTATAATATCACATATTTTACACGATTCAGAGTTGTACAAGTATCTTAGTACCATTAACAATCGACTGACACGTGTAACTGATTCAGAAATTTACTGAAAATTCATCACCAATACGTAGGTCGAATTTAATTAAAATGCGTGTCTTATCTGATATACAATGAATGTATTCGTCAATACAAATAAAGATACAGTTTTGTCTCAGATGCTGTCGACTTCTTTGAATATATGTAACTTGGTATTATAAAAAAGAGTGATGCATCATTTTTTATTTTCGTTTTTAAAATATTGTTATAGTGTATTATCTTTTGATGGAGGACTGTAGCTTTTAGTCATGCTTATCTAACTATGAGGAATGCTTTTACCACACGAAAGCGTCTATTTGATAAACTTATGACTAATGCATTCTCTAACATATGGCAGAGCCTTCAGTTACGTTTCCACGTAGTCAATTTGAACTAGAAGATTGATTATACAGATTAACTTTGGAATAAAACATTCATTTTTTGTAATATAACACTTTTACCCTATTTGATGCGTATTTACTTTCTTTTTCTCTTCGAAGTTCAAAACAGCAGTATGTCTTAATGCTGATTTTATCTCTACAAAAAAAATATCACATTGATGTATTGTCATGTTCGAAATAGTTCGCGAGAAGCATTTTACCATTCAAAACTAAGAAAAAACGAAGCATCATTTGTTCATTATTTTTGATAGAAAAGTGTGCTATTAAAAACAACCTTATTCAAAAAAAGTCCTATTTTCATGCCATATTTCTCGAAATAAAAGTTAGTCCATGACGTTTGTTACAGCCCTTTCATTTAAACCGTTACAGATAATATCGATATTAGTCCACAATATTCATCAATGTTTTCCAAAACATTTTCTCAATTTCAAAAAGATGCTAACCAGCAATACGTTTTCAAAGTTGTATAGAAAATAAAATTAATCATAATTTTTTTTATATATTTTAATTCGAATTTGCTACAACGTCAATGAAGAGAAGAGATTTCTATATTGTCTTTTCTTTACATCTCAAGAGGAGGACGACTTGATGAAGAAACCAAAAACATAATTAATAATCTAAATTATATACTTATAATGTATATCTTTCATTAATGTAAAATCCATCTTGTGTTTCCTTTCGATTTCCATGTGTAGAAGAATACTAAGTACTGGTGTTAAATATAGAACTGTTCCACAGAAACATAACCGTATCTTTTCCATACATCCTAATATTTCCAACAAAGTTAAGAGTTCATTGCTTAATATTCGCCTAATGCTCAACAATAATGCAGTAAACCCCATTACAAACACTACTTCGTATATTGACTATTCATATAATATTCCAAAATTAATGAAAATCATCAATAAACGTTTCGAAATCTTCTTGTCGGTATAAAATAACAGTAAAACAAAAGCACTGCAATATATAAAACTAAATATGGTACCCATATAAAGAAAATATCTTCAAAAATGCATTAACATGCATAAGCTGAATCTATGACACGATCTATTCGAGGTTATTTGAAAATAATACATTTTAATGCATTAGAATATAGGATATCACGCAGATGACAGAAATATCTCGAAATAATGCATTATAATGCATTAAACTACGTGTATTATACACATAAGAAAAATCTCGAAAAATGCATTATAATGCACTAAACTAAATATGTTATTCATAAATAAGTATCTACAAATAATGCAGTTTGATAAATTAAAATATATATTGTTATCCACGCGAAGGAAGCATATAGAAATAATGTATTACGATATATCAAAATTTTATTTATATTCATTTATTTTAGATTGTTCCAACATACACGTTTTATTTTAGCTGTTTTAAAAAAAATAATAAAATTTTACGATAAAAATTATTTAAAATTAATTGAGTTTAAACAATGAATTCATTTTATGTGAAATAATTAAAGCAATGATCGTTTTAATGAAAATTTTGAAATAATCATTCGAATTGTATTTTTCTTTCTGATTTTCAAGCTCCCTACGGTACGCATATGAAACAACGGTGCTAATAAGAAGAAATAGATATTCGTGGTGAATTTTCAAACTAATATAAACCAATCATTCAAATGTATGCAATTTCTGTCCATGAAAATATAATGAGTTTAAAATGTTGTCATGTGATCAATTCTGTCTACTTTAATGAGATGGTGAACAAATTACTTCAATGACATATACAAACTGATTTTTCTTGTCCAGACATTTCTTATTTAATCGTTTCATGAAGTCAGCCATTCGAAATGCCTAGCAGATATTTTGTTTTATTCAAAATTATTTATCGGCTCTGTTTTTCTTTCTTCCTCTTTCTTTTATGTTTATTTATTTCACAACTTAAAAACTGCAAAATAAAAAATCATAATAATAAAAGTATTCATTTAATGAATGGTAAATTTATGATCATTTTGTTGACATGGTAAAATAAAATATATATATATGATATACATATATGTTAGCGTCCAAACTGAGATCACGTCCAATGTCGGATTGAGCGGAAATTTATCATTAAAACGTGAATTACTATGTACATCGATGTAGGATTCAATTTTCTACTTATGAACTTCGATGAAGTATCATCATATTAGGTAACGTAATCATCAGTAAACCAATAAATTAAAGGCTCGATGAGTTATGGACACTTTTCATTTTTGAGGGTGAGGGTGTGAGGGTATGGGTTGCCATGATAATAATTCATCAATAATAATTTGAATCCTATACCGATGTACACAGTAATTCACGTTTTAATGATAAATTTCCGCTCAATCCGACATTGGACGCGTCCAATCTCGGATTCGAGATTCGCCTAGGCCAAGCTGAGATTGGATGTGATCTCAGTTTGGACGCTAACATATATATTGCACCATGAACGAACAGAACCGATACGACGTATATATAATATACGTGATGAGTGGAAGCATATAACGTATATTCACGTGATGAACGAAACGAACGTACATGACGTATATGTTATATATGACCTTTTCTCGTTCTATGCCCAGTTATATTACATGTTGGAAAGAAAAAATCCTGTAAAGTGTTATATAGATAAAATAATGAAGCAAGTGTAACGTAAAATCCAAAATTCTTAGCAATGAAAATGCGATTTAATGCTATTTGATTTCGAATTCTCCATAATGATCATTTTGATTCTGTTGTTCGTAATTGCTACTTATTTTGTTATATATGTCTAACTTATGATTTAAAAAATCTTCAATAATACTTTGATACATATCTACATCGTTTCAAATCTAAATTATTCAAGCCAGGTAAGTCAAAGAGAGGTCCCATATTTTAGACTCTGATATATAATCTCTATTTTATTTTAGTCGGAAAAGTAACAATTATTTGCAAAGAAGAAATTCAACATAAAGAAGTCAAATTCTATTCATTTTCGTTTAAAATTTGTCTTGCTTAATTTAGGAATGCGTCACATTGTCATGCACAATGATTTCAAAGAGAAAATTTCATACGTTTTGTTTTATTCTAAATTATAACACTATTTTTATAGTTAGATGCTATTCTTAAGTTCAACATCAATACTACATTTCTCTTTTTTTAAGACGATATGATACTAAAACGATTCACATAATACTTTTTGAATCATTTTATGTTCCAATTCCACATATTATTTTATCTTTATAGATTACTTTCAATGAACCGATCACGTATATTAACATCAGTCGATTACAGTGAGCAATTGGCTAATAATCTCGATCAACTTGATAAACGTGAAAGATTAAACATAAATGACATCATCAATCATGCTTATTTGCGACGAATTTTTCTACAATATGAATCATTTGGTCTCCAAGCTGATACACTTCTTTTTCTACATTAGCTGGATTGGGAGCCATTTCAAATCGTTCATTTATTAAAAGAATTGATAACACACCTATACTATTGAACCATGGGTCAATAATAGTTGGAAAAACAGGTATTTTCAAAAGAATTAACCAATGAAATAATTTCTCTTCCTTTTACCCATTGAGTTTTCATAAACAGCACTATGCATGCGTTATTTCGTAATTCATATTAAATTTAATTGTCTATAGTAAGAGAATCTCAAAATCACGGTATGAGTGCAAAAGACATTGTTTTGAACTGACTTTCATTGGTCCCAATTTTTATAGAAATATGAAACGAAAGCGGAAATTTTCGAAAGACTACATAACATACAATTGGTATAGAGATAAAAATCACGTATATATTATATGTTTGAGTTCATTTAGTAGATTTAAGTTAAAGAGATAACTTTATTGAGAGAGTTATTAGTATTATATTGCACTTGATTTCATAGAGCATGACACTAGAATTTCTTGCCAAATCATGAAATTTGGCAATTTCGTATGCATTACTAAATCTTTGAGGGAGTCTTTCTTTTATGAAATATTAAAGATTTTGAACATCATTAGTTTATAACAAATACAATGTAAATCTGAAATCAGTATATATTTTCGATCAACATTTAAATTCTGTAAGATTTTTCTCAATTGAGATGATATGTAAATGCACCTGTGAAAAAAGAATAGGATGACGTATTGCAATTCGTTCAATTGAAAAAGAACTTTTTCAATGAATACTAATATAATATATTTTTGCATTTCTTAGGATCAAACAAAACCAGCTATATAAAAGCAATTCGTCATGCAATCAATACACTTGGTCATCATTATCCATAAATTTATCATCCTGAAATTGATAAAGATGCAAACAAAATTGATACTGATCAAATATCATCACGACAAACAAATGAATTATCATCATCAAGTAAGATGGTGAAAGTATCATTCATGGCTGAAGTATGCACCGAGTTGGCTATAACAAAAAATTTAGCAATAACAGATACTTTTTTATGCCATGATGAAGGCGATGTTATTTTGTCAACATTTGGGTTTTATTCACCATCAGATGCCAAACATGCTGCTGGTGTAAACTTACTGTGTTCGGCACTCGACGGTCTTTCAGACTATAATCGAACAGCTGGTTATCAAAATATCTATGTCAAAGATTTGACACTTTCTATGCGTAAGATTTTTCACATATGCCTTGAGTATTTTCAAAGGAAGTTGAGATCTTATTTTATTTATACGAGATGCAATGTCTTCGAGAGTTTGGTTTTATTAAATCGGATAACAACAAATTAACATTAAAATCCTCGGGAGCGTCCTTAAACATCTTTAAAACGTTGAAAGCCAGTATAAATTCATTGGTTTTTTTCTGTTCACTAATTTTACATCATACACAAATTTGAGCGATAATGTTGATATCATTTTCGCAAAGATAGTGACTTTGCCTAGTCTTTTAAAGTGTGAGCAATTTCAATATATAAGGGCGTGATGCATATATATTATAGATATACAACACATTTTCTTTGATTTTAGTTGTTGCTACAACAGGTAGTAAGATGTCGTCTACCTTACAAATGATGCACCAAAAGAAAGAAAATCTTGGCATGCTTGGTCGTCTTAATATTTGGCACTTACAATCATTGAACGAATTTGTTCCACCTCGACATTCTAAATTAGTTTCTGATATTGCTTCCATAGATCACTTATTTATAATAGCACATGAAATTTATCAACATAATCCAGAGTTTCGTTTCAAGAAACATGCTACTGATACAGTCACGCAAGTTGTTACTGGTATGTTAAAGATGAACTTTTTATTAATAATATTTTTTCTCGGCTTCATCAATGTTCTTTTATTTTATTAGACGATGTTGATAATGATGAGTACATGAAGTCGCTTCGGCTTAAACAGGGTATCGATGGTCAAAATGAACCGATTTTATCCTCAAATGATGATGATACGAATGATGTATTTAATGTTTGTTCAAATGATTTAACGGATGATGGTGGTGTTATCAGTGCATATAAATTAATGCTTTCTATTTTGGACTCTTATTTCAAAACTGCTCAACAAATGGATCGACATTCAAGTGGATGTGTTCCTAAAGGATTAAGTAAATTTCCACGAGCATGCTCACTTTTATATTTACTGGAAATTATCTCTGGTATTGCTTCGAATTTACTCAAATATATTTCTTTTGGTGAAGGTAACTTTTCTCGACCTCATTCAAAATCAAAGAAATTTATATCAATGGAATTTGTTCATGCTGCTCGACAACATGTTAAAATCTACTTACTCAATTTACCATCTATTAACAATCGACCTATTACCTATATTGATAAATCTCAAGTTGAACGTGCTCATATTTTTTATTCTTATGTTGAAACAACTATGAACATGCTTTTCGATGCATCATTTATCAATTATACAAGTCAGATTGATCGAGAAACTACTTCGGTTAATTATTTATCAAAAACGTATGCCACTTATTTTTGTTTTATATTGTTGTGAAAGGAAAAAACTTGATTAACATTCGAATGACTAAAATCTAATAGCTCAGTGAGTTTAGTAGTTTGAATTCATCTAATGTTTCTCTAAATGATGAAAAACTCATTTGATTTAAAAATATATCGTAACAGTTTTTTCCTTACACTTTTCTAAAATTCTTTTAGAGAACAACAAGAACTTTTGTAGATTACTAAAGTATTAAAAACGCCAGTCTTTTTTTTCTCACAACTATCTCGGCAAATCCTTACCAGGTTCTGCTGGGTCAGGCGTATGGAAAAATGCATCATCTGATCTTCGTAATCGTATCTTGAACAGGATGGTGCATGGTGGATTATTGAAAAGCGATAACTATTTATCAATAACGAAATCAGTCTCGTATGTTAAATTACCACCAAGTACTCTTCGACAAAATGAAGATTTACTCAAATTATTTAATAAATTTGGTCCATCATTTACACTTAACAGTTATGAAAAAATGTTCGAAAAATTCGGTCTTGTAACAGCAGCTGACGCTACAATTGTGCCTATAACATTTAAAGGAATTGTATTATTGCGTGAAGATAATGCGTTTGTCAATTTTTATCATTGTTTGGACAAGGATGAAGGAGTACTGAAGATGATTCAGGAACGAATAACTTCAAAGGAAATCAACTTAGTTCATGATTATAAAGATGGTCCATATCGATATGAACTTGTTATTGAAAATGAAAAGATTGTTAATATTTCATCGAACGATTCCAACGAAAACAATAATGAAAATATCAAAAATGGTATTTTAACAACTGATGTAAATTCATCAATTGTACATAATTCAATGATCAACGTTAATCAACATTTTAATACTCAAGCTATTCAAGAACAAGATAGTAAGTGAATATTTAAGTCTTCATATCTGCGTGATCTTGTATTTATAGTTTTATCAATGTTGTCAACACAAGACAACAATATGCTCCTTTCAGCAACAAATGTTCATCCACAATCAACTAATCAAATTCAACGACATAATTGTGGTGTATCATCAGCCAGTAGCGATAGTCGAGTATCTGTATCAAGTGTCTCACCATCATGTAAAATATTTCTACTGAGCAGATAGTTGTTATTAAAAAAATAGCGTTAAAAAATCAATTTTTTCTATTAAATTAGTCGATCATGCAAATTTTATGCAATCTACACCAAGAGCATCATCTCCAATTCCGGCAATGTTGTTTCAAGTAAGACACTGTACCGTGGTACTATTTAATGACTAATTAATTTGTAACACTTCTAGTCATTACTTAATATCGATGAAAATTCAACTGCGAGTAACATTCAATTTGATAATCTTTCATCAATTATTGATGAACCTACTTCGTCACCGACCAATGCTGCTTTTAGTGAGTATTTAGGTATTCAAGCTAACCTTGTATAATGAATCGAAATGTAACATCTTAAATTATTTGAATTTATCATTAGATACTTCATCAATTATGATACGATTGCATTCACCAATTCCGGAACCAGCAAGACTGGTACAGCAAACCTTGTCACCAAAAAGTGCCAATGATAATATGGATTTGACATCCGTTACTTCTCATGAAACTTATCAAGAAAATAATTTATCGACACATCAAACAAGTATAACAACTTTCAAATTATTGTTTTATTTGAAATATTCATAAGTCATGTTTCTAATAGATGATGAAGCTCAAAAGCGTTTTTCGTCACAATCGGTTATTCCATCACCAGTTTCGAGCAATTTTCATAGTCAAACCTATCGAGTTTTATCACAATTATCTGATGCGATACAATTAGAATCGAATGTATGTTGAAGTTGAAAATATAAATGTTTGCATATCTTTGTTCATTTATGAATGATTTTGAATGATTATTTTTGTATTCATTAATTAGACAAATGAATGTGTTTCATCGAATACATCGGTAATGCAATCATCTTCGATGGAGAAACAAAAACGAGGTCGAAGATCAAACGTTAATGAAAGTACAGATCTGTCTTCAACTGATGGTAGGACTAAGTATATAAGATACAAGAATAATGAATAATAAAGCCAACTGATGAAAAAGGAGATATAGTGAATAATAGTCGAGATTAGAATATTTCAAGGAAAAAATTCTTTTTGTATTGAATTTTTTTTATGATAGATGCTGAATCCATTCTTTTCAATCATAATCATCCGATTTATAAACGTCTTATTCTTCTTGATGGCATTGTTTTCAGTAAGACTGACTTTAGTCATGCTCTTCAACAATTTCCGAATTTACGTGATAATGCAATTGAAAAGTTGTGTAAAGAAGGTGTTTTCATCAAAGGCGACGTTTTTGCAAAGAAAACCTCGACCGGTATTATTGAACATTTGCAAAGATACGTCAAGCGTAGTCCAGCAATCGATGGTAATGGATCGTTAAATGTTGAAGATTATATTAATTTTGGAAATATACTTGCAAAATATGAAATTTCAATTGAAGAGTATATTAATTCATTTAATAATGCACAATCATTTATGGAAAATTCAGGAGGAGCTACTGTTAAACGTATTCTTAATCGTTCAAATATAAAATTAGCATCATATTTATTTTCAATGAAATTTGTTGAATTCATTAGTCAAAATAATTATTTTTCTGAACGATTTGCAATTGATAATGATGCCATATGCTTTGATAAACCGTACATACTACCGACGACATCAAATATAGGTAACTTGCGTTTTCTTGATACATTTACTAAACCTATTATCACGAATATTTATTATTTTGTCCACGGTTTAAGTTACCGATGCATATCAAAAGAGTCAATACAGGCAAGCAAGACAACATAAAACATCAAAAAAACGTGCCTATAGTCACATTCAGGATAACTCTGGAGCACCACGTAAAAGTTCTCGACGTAGACCATAAAAGGTTTATCAAGTAAACTCTTAATGCCACCATTTTCAATTATGTTTGATATTCGAATTTATTTTTGCCAACTTCTCAACTTGTAAAGTATTGCTGTAAAATTTTTATCGAAAGTGTTGAACTAAAACGAATGAAAATGTGTTTTTCTGTTAATTATATTGTTCCATGTACTGTAATGAAATAATTCCCAAGTGCTCAAACCGATCGAAGACCGGTTTTTGATAGGCTCGTGGGATATGGATAGTTAAATAGCGTTCTTATTTCTTTGCTGTGAAATTATTGTAATTTAACATATTAGTTGTCTAGAATTGTATATTTTTCTTGTGCGAATCTCAATAAAATATTTTGTTAAACGTTCGTTCATCTATTTTGTTTATTATCATTCTTCATTATTTCGTTTATCTTATTACTCAACCTCGTATAGTAAGGTCGCTTGGAACTTAAATTGAAAAAAGAAACAGGATAAAAGATATTTCATTTATTGACAATAAAACTCTTCTTTTTTTATCAAGAGTTGAATAATCATAATCGTTCATGCTGTTTATCTTCCAATGATACTTTTTATGAACATTTATTTTTAGTTGCATTTTAAATCTATTCAAGTTTTATCGAAACACGAGATATTTCATTTGATTACTCCATATGTCTCAAAACTCAAATAATTCATATTTGTTTACTTTGACAACAACGTCAGCATCATTTTTTACATCAGTAACGTCAACAACATCTTCACCATTAGCAATTACAACTTCACCCTCGCCATCAACGTTAAGGTTAACATCTTCACCATCACCATCACCATCATCATCATCATCATCATCATCCAACAAAGTGATTTCATCCGACAATGTTTCTCAAATAATTACATGGATCTTGAATCATATATCATTTTATGGATTACGAGTATTGCTTCAGCTCGAGACTCAATTTCCGATAATAGGATCAGCTGCATCTTCATCTAAACGATTGGATTTTTTTTGCGACAATGATAAATACAGCCTGTAACGCATAATATAGCAAAAATATCATTTGTGCTATTCATAATGTTATAATCATGAATGATCTTGTTAGACAAGAATTACTTCGTGCAATTGATATAAATTAATTTATTAATCAATACAAAATGTCCCACAAAGTTGACCCATCATCTAGTATTGATAGATATTCAATTAATGTAATGCCATTTACTAATGTATGTAGAAATATGAATTGTCAAGGACAAAGTTTGGATATTGTATTTTCAAGAACTGGTCATATCGCAAATTTAAACTCAATGGAACCATGTTCAATTTATACTAGCACCTGCAGACATTGTAAATGTGTCTATGGGCCGTCATCAATTCTTGATTCACATAATAATCAACGTATTATTACTACTCAATCAATTCAAGACATTGATTACGTTTATTTTTCTGGTGATCTTGTTTATTCGAGACATTTATTGGCAATGTTTAGTAATAGTTTGATCCATGCTCATACAACATTTCAAGGTTTTGCTGAAAGCTATATATCCACTCTTGTTGATCTTGATGCAAACCAAACATCAATATACTCAGCAAATACATTTGGAAAGCGTTTAGAAATCGTTTGGCTATATTACGAACTTAGCCGATTTATTTTTCTTACTAGTTGTGAAACATCAATCAGCTTTCCAAAATCTTTCCAACCAGAAGCCAGACCAATATTTATTGAACAAAATTTACCTTTTATTTTTCACATTTTTACAGTATTTTGGTCAAATCATCGTATGCTTAATGGAATTAAGTGTAAAGAGAAATTATGCTCACGCGTTATGTTGATCGACGGTCACCAGAAATGCCAACGTATTATTTGTCAATTTGAAAATCTTATAAACATGAACCATCCAGAAATGGGACCAGTTGTTCAGGGTTGTCCTTACGCACCAAACAGAAAGAAAAAAAATGAAAAAGGAAATGGTAGATAACTTTTTTAAATTGTTATTATTTCGAATAAATATAAAGTTATACGAACCTTTACACATTCAGATCAATCGGTTTTTTATTGTTCTCATCATGCAAAATATGTTGACATGACCAAAAATGGTGAACAGCATCATACAAATCAATATGAAGAAGCAAATAAAATTGATCAACAAACCATAGCTGAGTTGAACAACGAAGATATGTGTAACGTATATCGAAGTGACATCAGAACAGATCAGAAGAATCGATCATTTGGTTTACTTGTAACATTCTTGTCTTGCAATGTGGCCGTCAGCTTTACTGAATCCATCAAATCAGAAGGATGTCGTCGAGTTACAGTAAAAATTGCTGGAAGTTTTCGTACTATTTACCTATCTTTTTTCCATTATAGGATCATTTATTGACTATGTTAAAGTCTGGTGCAAATCTTCCCGATGTCTTATTTTACGATAATGCTTGTGCACTTCGTTTGCACTGGAACAAAGTGTTAGACACGAAATATTTAGCTAAGAATGAATTTACTAACAAATTATACAATTTATTACTTGTACTAGATCGTTTTCACAGAAAAGGTCACACCAGACCTATGTGTCGCAAAATGATGAATCCAGATGATGACAGATATGGTACAAAGTTTAAGGATATTAATACATCTGTTTGTGAACAATTCTTCTCATTTTTGACAAAATTTCGATGTTCTTTGAGGGGTTTTAACTATCCAACATCCACTTTATTTTCATTACTGCTTTCCCATTTAAAGAATTGTCACACTACCGGCATTAAACAAAAGGGTGCTTTCACGCAGGTCCGCCCACTTTATACACGACCTTCCGCAGGCACGATTTAATCATGCTAGTTTTGTAGCCCGCGTCGAGTTGTGTAGGAAACCATATTTTGTTTTTAA